GTAAGTCTCAATTTTATTTAGTGAATTAAACTGAATTAAAGGAAAGTTCACAGAGAAGTCAGTTTTAGAATTTTAATTTTAATATAGTGCATCCTTCTAAAATTTGATCTTTTAAATTGTATTATATAGCTACTTAATCTTATTCTTTTAAAATTTTGTCAGTGTTCTATGAGAACATGTGACTGGAAGCATTTTACAAGGCTATGCACTTCATACTTTTAAGGCTTACGTTACAGAAAATACCTGTATAATAAATACTATATAATAAATAAAGCACAGAAATAGATATATGCTATCTATAAGGACATAGAAGACACAGAATAGTATTTAATCTCACGTGTTAATAATCCTGTGTAATCCATAAAGCTTGGAGACAGTTGGACCCTTGATTAATATTTTTCTATCGTTTTTCCTGGGCATATCAGGGCTGCAATCCCAAATATGCTAAGTGTTTGAATAGAGAAAAGTTGTGACACTTTACCTGATCATTACTTTAGAAGAAGTTTTTTTAATGCTACTGAGGAATTTTCAGTTTAGAAAATCTAGATTTTCCAAAGAATTGTAGAAGCACATGCTCTAAGTAGCCATGAAACCATTTAGCCTTACACTCTTGTTTTTCCAGTGATAATTCTTTGAGACTATGTGACTGGAAATATTTTATGGGGCTATGTACTTCATACTTATAAGACTTGAATTATAGCAAATACCTGTATTTCACAGGGAAATATTTCATAAGTAGGTCATCACCAAATTCTCTAGTATAATTTTGTACTTGTGCCCAATGACTCTAGAGAAATATCGTTGCTTATTTAAATGAGACGTGAAAGCATGGTCTTCTATAAAGTACTGTCTATCGGGGTGGGGGTGGATAGATCTGCCTTCAAATTATATAAAAAAGTATGAACCATAAGACGGATTGACCTCAAATCTATGATAATTAGTCATGGTGGTAGCACCATGATTCCACATGCCTAAGAGTGGAAAAAAATGTTTAAAAAATGGATGTGGTTGATCATAGGACTCTATTTCCTTAGACAAGGTTTTCTGGCATGACAAAGAAATACATGTTAGGTGCATAGTTATCTTGAGGGTGTCAGAGAAAAGATCTAGAATTCTATGTGAGTCCTATGAAGAGTATTAAAATAGTCTACTATTTTAGTGGACAATTCTCTTTGCTCTCTTAGGCAGGGACAGAGCTCGATTACCAGCTCTTAAGAGAAAACCAGTAACTCCCCTAGGTCACAGATTTATGGAGCTCCATAATAATACAATTTATAGCTGACATTTCTATAGAGATTATCATTTGCCAGGTACTCTCTTCCATATTTGGTATATTAACTTACATTTTTACACTCAATATTTCTAGTGTATGGGAAATACGACTACCTGTTTTTTGCAGATGAGATAACTGGTGCTCACAGTGTAAGTGTTGCTCAAAGTCACAATTTTGCTAAATGGCAGATCCTAGAATTTAATTTAAGCCATGTGACTTCAGACAACATTCATAAACATTTGGTCTGTTATGTGTTAAGAATATTGGGTCTGGGAACAAATAAAGCAGAGGAAAAGAGAGCCCTCTGATAATATAACTGTGTGCATGGTTATCCAGTGGACACTTTATTTGGGAGGGTCTGACTTCAGCTTTTATGCAGTTCTCCTCACCCAATTCAACAGGTTGTAAGAGACACAAAAGCAAATAAAACATATGTTTAGTGCACTCTGTTTAAAAGCTAAAAAATAAGATAGAATAACAAACTACTTTCCATAAAATACACCAATGTATATTGTAGAGGAAAATTCAGGTACTGTGTGAACCTAGCAAGTGTGAGCATAACCAGCCATAACTGGGAAGTGGTAGGACAAGGGACAGAGTGAGATGGCTTCCAGAGGGTGTGAGGTGGATTTGAGTATTGAAGGGGGAAAAGGTTGCATCAGGAATAAAACATATTCTGATGGTGACAGCAGTGTGGGTTGAGATGGTGAAGGTGGCAATATCTGTGATGATGATAATTTTTCAAATTTTCTCCTCATACATTTACCGTATGCTTCTTCTCTCCATTAGATGAATATAATCAAGAAAATTGACACTTTTATTGCCATAAGAAATGCCTTTTTCTCCCTACTTGGCTTTGGGATCTTTGCCAATGCCCTCCTTCTTGTCTTCCACGTCCTCACGTTCCTTCTTGAGCACAGGCCCAAGGCCACTGACCTGACCATCAGCCACTTGGCCCTAATCCACCTAGTGATGCTGCTGACCTTAGGTTTTATAGCCACAGACGTTTTGGGGTCTCAGAATTTTTGGGATGACATCGAGTGTAAGGCAGTTCTGTACTTGTACAGGTTAATGCGGGGCCTCTCCATCTTCACCACCTGCCTGCTGAGTGTCCTCCAGGCCATCACCCTCAGCCCCATGAGCTCCTGTCTGGCAAAGTTCAAACATAAATGCTCACACCGCAACCCATGTGTCTTTCTCTTCCTGTGGGTCTTTAATATGTTCATTAGTGGTCACTTCATAATTTTCACTATTGCCACCCCCAATGTGACCTCAGACTATCTAATGCTTGTCACTGAATCCTGCTGCCTTTGGCCCCCGAGTTACTTGTTCTGGTACCTATTTTCTGCACTGGTGACCTTCCAGGATGTCTCTCTCATAGGGCTCATGGCCCTCTCCAGTGGATACATGGTGGTTCTCTTGTACCGGCACAAGAGGCAGTCCCAGCATCTCCACAGCACCATCCTTTCTCCTAAAGCTTCCCCAGCAAAACAAGCTACCCAGACCATTCTGCTGCTCATGAGTTTCTTTGTGGTCATGTACTTTTTGGACTGTGTTGTCTCCTCCTACTCAGGAATGTTGTGGAACAAAGATCCAGTTCGCCTGTGTGTCCAGATGCTTGTGGGCAATGTCTACGCCATCATAAGTCCTTTGCTGCTCATCAGTACCGAAAAACTAATGATCAAGTTTTTACCATCCATAGTGGGGAGGACAGTAAGTGTTTAATTCAGTGGAGAATAACTTCCCAGGAGATGAGCCAGTGCACTGTATTTGATTAATTGTGGTGTAGAGAACAGATTCGCTTTGTTAATGGAAATACAGAGAGTTAGTAATGCTTGTTCTATTGAACCTATTTACTTTGATACATGTGACTGGCAAGTACATGATAGACAACACAACGATTAAATTTTAAAATGAGATTCATAAAAATTGGAGCTCTAACTCAGTTTCAAATTTTTAAGTGGCAGGAGGGTATCAGTGATTGTTTGGAAATGAAAGAGGGACTGGCAAGGTAGAAATAAGGGATTACAAAGGGGCACATGGGAAATTTTACATGTGAATGTTATCATAATTTCATGTGTGTTATAGATGTCCAAATGTATTCATTTATATGCTTTAAGTTGTAGTTTGTTGTATGTCTGTTATACCTCTAGGAAAACTGTTTTTTAAAATTCATAAAAGAGAAAAGTAAAACCTAAACAATTTGAAGACTTCACTAAAGTTATATGTATGTTTCTGTGTTTATATGTGTGCAAAGAATATATGTAACTTTATTGAGGAAATGTTTAAACATTAACAATGTACAATCTTGAGAAAATCTCTACATATTCCATAATATAAAAGTCTTACATTGGCTGGCCTGTGGCTCACTTGGGACAGTGTGGTGTTGGTAACACCAAGGCCATGGGTTCGGATCCCTACATAGGGATGGCTGGTTTGCTCACTTGGGAGGGTGTGGTGCTGACAACACCAAGTCAAGGGTTAAGATCCCCTTACTGGTCATCTTTATTTTTTTTTATTTTTTATTTTTTTAAATAGTTTATTTTATTTATTGAATCAAAATCGATTATACATATTTTGGGGGTTGAACATTGAGATATGTTGATTAAATCAGTATTACTAGCATATATATTGTTACAAATCATAATTATTCTTTATGCCCCTTGTCTAACCTCTCCCCTTCCCCCATTCTCTCCCTCTCCCCCCTCTAATTGCCCTAGATTTCTTCTCTCCTTCTGAAAGAATAATGGTTACTCTGTTAACTTGTTGCCTAGATGATCTGTCCAATGCTGAGAGATGTGATCAGGTCCCCCAACATATCATAGAGCAGATGCTTCTTCTGTCACTCTGAAATGGGTTTTGTGTAAAGAGACATCCTCTTCTTTTCTTTGTCTCTGCTGGTGACTCTTCTTGTGTGACTGCACTCCAGTGGTTGGCGGACCATCAGTGTGGTGTCTGTGGTGTCTAGCCACTTTTGCAGCAGTCATGGTTATTGTGGTGGCTGTGGTGGGCCACCCATGTGGGGTTGCTGTTTTTGGCATGCTCCTTGGCACTGGCGGTATGCCTGGTTGTGGGGTATGTTTGGTCCCCTTCTCCATGCCTCTGGTCCATGGACAGAGCGTAAGGCACTTGCGCCATGTGGCTGGTTGTGGGAGAGGGGTCCAGTCCCCTTCTCCATGCCCTGGGTCACTGGGCAGGGCCCAAGGTGCTGGCATGGTGTGCCTGGTTGTGGGAGGGAGGTCCGGTCCGCATCACTATGTCCCGGTTCCCTGGTGGGCTCCGAGGTGCTGGCATGGTGTGCCTGGTTGTGAGAGGGTGGTCCAGTCCCTGACTCCATATCCTGGGTCCCTGGGTGGGTCCCTAGGTGCTGGTGTGGTGTGCCTGGTTGTGAGAAGGTGGTCCAGTCCCCTTCTCCATACCCCAGGTCCCTGGGTGGGCTCCGAGGTGCTGGCATGGTGTGTCTGGTTGTGGGAGGGTGGTCCAGTCCCCTTCTCCATGCTCCGGGACCATGGGCAGGCCCTGAGTCGCTGGCTTGGTGTGCCTGGTTGTGGGAGAGAGGTCCAGTCCCCTTTCCCATGCCTCAGGTCCCCAGGTGGGCCCTGAAGCGCTGGCTCAGCATGACTGGCTGTGGGAGAGAGGTCCATTCCCCTTCTCCTTGCCTCGGGTCCCCAGGCAGGCTCCAAGGTGCTGGTGTGGTGTGCCTGGTTGTGGGAGAGTGGTCCAGTCCCCTTATCCATGCCCCGGGACCGTGGGCAGGCCCCAAGGCATTGGCTCAGTGTGCCTGGTTGTGGGAGAGAGGTCCAGTCCCCTTCTCCATGCCTCAGGTCCCTGGGTAGGCCCTGAAGCACTGGCTCAGCGTGCCTGGCTGTGGGAGAGAAGTCCATTCCCCTTCTCCTTGCCTCGGGTCCCCGGGCAGGCCCTAAGGTGCTGGCATGGTGTGCCTGGTTGTGGGAGGGTGTTCTGGTCCCCTTCTCCAAGCCCCTGGACCGTGGGTGGGCCCCCAGGCGCTGCTTGGTGTGCCTGGTTGTGGGAAAGAGGTCCAGTCCCCTTCTCTATGCCTCAGGTCCCTGGGCAGGCCCTGAGGCACTGGTGCAGTGTGCCTGGTTGTGGGAGAGAGGTCCAGTCCCCTTTTCCATGCCCTGGGTCTCCCGGTGGGCTCTGAGGTGCTGGCAGGGTGTACCTGGTTGTGGGAGGTGGGTCCAGTCCTCTTCTTCATGCTTCAGGTTCCCAGGCTGGCCCCAACACACTGGTACAGTTTGCCTGGAAGTGGGAGTGGGGTCTGGTCCCCAGATCCAAGCCTCCAGTTCCCAGGCAGTCCCCAAGGTGCTGGTGTTGTGCCTGGCCCGGAACTAATTTTTGTCCTTTGCTTCTAACACGGGGGAACTTCCTGTGAGAACCAGTACTTGAGCTGTGTGGTTGTTTAAATTGCTACTTTGCTGCTATTTCCCTAGGGAAGGCTTTTTGTGCAGCTCAGGGTTTAATGGTTGACCTTAGGTACTTGCGGCTCTCCAGAGACCTGGTGGATCTGTGTTCTGTAGAATCTCTGATCTGCACCCGAGTTTTTTCATCAAACTGCACCCCATGCAATTCTGTATTCCTGACCAGACTCCTCTGAGTGGTCCTGTGCTATTTGGGAGGCAGATCAGCTGTCCTTGCTGTGCCCCAGTGTTCCCCTGGTGGGCCTGTCTCCCCCACCGCCCGTGCTGCAAACACTTCCCATGGGACGGGCCCTACACTGGTCTCTTGTGATGACTCACCAGCTTCTGAATGGCTCCCTTTTTTCAGTTGTTCTGGCTCCTCACTCCTGCATGGGTCCACGTGAACCCTATTAGTGGTCTTGCTGTCCTGCGGCCGCCAAGGCCCTCTTCTCCTCTGCCGCCTCCAAGTAACTACATCTGAAGAGCACAGCTGTGGCTTCTGCTGGCTCCTGCTCCATGCGTTCATCAGCTCGAGTCTTAAAGCAGCTAGCTGTGGCCTGAAATGCTCAGAGCAGCTTTTTCTTTCTCTGATCGTAGCTTCTCCTGCTTTCATGAATTCCATAGGTCTCTCCTCCTCTTCCTCTGAGCTCCAGCGGCCCTGGCTTGGCTGATGTTACATTTTGATAGCTGTAAATTGGTTGATTTGTGGGAGAGAGTGATGCTGTGGACCGCCTGTTCTGCCATCTTGATTGGATCTCCCCCCAGTCATCTTTAAAAATAAAAAAGTCTTACAATCTTTTAGAAAGCATATGTTAGGAACAAAAACGAATAACAAAAATGGAATATATATAATTGCAAAATTTATAAGCCCTTCTGAAAATATAGATTATATATAAATACTAAAATGATATAGGATAGAAGGAGGCAGAATAGGACACAACTTCAAATATTTAATGTACATTTAGCTTTGGAAATCAGAAAGTCAAAAATTATAACTATTGCATTATCCCTTTTAAGAAGGAAGGAAGGAAGGAAGAATAAAAGAAAGGAAAGAAGGAAGGGAAGAAAAAAGGAAAGAAAGGAAGAAAGGAAAGAAGAAAAAGAAAATGAGAGAGAAACAAAGAAAAGAAACAATCACAATAATACATTGAACTTTCAGAAGGAGAGAATAGAACTCTGGTTACTAGATGTGGGAAAGGAGACGGGGAGAGGAGTTAGTAAGAAATTGGTTAATGGAGGGCAAGACCAAGCACGTAGGCCTCGCCACCACCAGACCCCATCTGCAGCCCAGCTGAGTGCATACCAACCAGAGAGGTGCCCTGCTGGACAGGCCCAAGACCTGCAACGACCGTGTTCCCAAGGCACCAGTGGGCAACTGAGGACACTGAGGCAGCCATGCCACATTGGCAGCCCTGGCAGGATCCTACCCATACAATAGAGTCAAACCAATGGACTGTGAAATCCTTGTCACAGTGACTAAACATCAAAGGAAAGATACCAGAAATATGAAAAACCAAGAAAGTACACCACCAAAGGGTAATAACTCTCAAGCTCTAGATCCTATAGAACAAGAAGTCCTTGAAATGTCTGACGAGGAATTTCAAGTGATAATTCTAAGGAAACTAAAATATAAGAAAACTCTGCTAGACAACATGATGAAACAAGGAAAAGTATACAGGACCTGAAAGAAGAAATGTACAAGGAAATCAATGCCCTGAAAAAGAATGTAGCAGAGCTTGCCGAGGTGAAGAATTCATTCAATGAAATAAAAAACACAACAGAGAGTTTAACCAGCAGGCTTACAGTAGCAGAAAAGAGAATATCTGCCGGTTCCCGGTACGGGCGCGACACCGAGGGTTGCGATCCCGTTACCGGTCAGTAAAAAAGACAAAAAGGAAAAAAAAAAAAAAAAGAAAGAAAAGAGAATATCTGACCTTGAAGATGGGCAGTTTGAAATAACACAGGCAGAGAAAAAAAAAAGAATTAAAAACATTGAAGAATATCTCAGCGATAGCAGACAACCTTAAGCACTCAAATATCTGAGTCATGGGTATTCCAGAAGGGGAGGAATAAAGGACATTTCATTGAAAACATATTCAACAAAATAGTGGCAGAAAACATCCCCAGTATAGGAAAAGACACAGATCTTCAGATTCAGGAAGCTCAAAGATCCCCAAATGTATTCAATCCAAAAAGGTCTTCTCCAAGACATGTTACAATCAAATTGGCAAAATTCAATGACAAAGAGAGAATCTTAAATGCTGCAAGAGAGAAGCATCAAATCACCTATAAGGG